GCAGACTCCAACACGATGGAGTGGCTCAGTGTTTGCACTGTGGGTCTTTCAGAGCTAACATTACCTGGATTTCCCAGCGGGAAAAGAGGAAGGAGCAAACCATATAACACAATAAACATCTTTTTCACACACTCACAGCTTCCTCAAAAGAAAGAGGTCTCTGGGCAGTCACCCAGTCAGGCTTTAGCTGCCTTGGGCTCACCCATCACTTCTCCCTCTCCTGGGATGCTGGTGGGAATGCTGAGCCTGGATCTGGCCAAGCTGGCAGCCGGGGCCTGCATCAGACACTGTCCCTGCCTCACCCTTCCTGCTCAGGGCAGGGATGCTTTGTTTGCTCTTTGTACCTGTGCGATCTGAATCAGCCCTTTGGCTTTTTCCTTTGGGATCCACCTAAAGAGAAGTGTTCCGTGGCCACCTCTGCAGCATGGGAGGGGAAGGACTGGTGCCACCTTGTTACAGCTGCCCCAGTCCCACGCCACATGGACTGAGCCCTGCACAAACCACCCAGCCTTCCCCGGGTGGACTTTAAGCCTGTCTTCTTGCCTGCAGGGCAGTATTTACCAGCAGAGACCTCCAGGGCTGACACTACCCTGAAACGTCCATGTTGATACCACTGCTGTGGGATGCTTTGTACCTGGAGCTCCTTTCTCTGGTTAAGCTGGTGCTGCTTTGGTAGCACCATGATCTCTCCATCTCCTTCGAGTGCCAGGGAGTAAACATCCCACCCCGGGCATCTGGGGTGCTCCAGCATCTCATTGCAGAGCTGGTGCGAGTCTTGCATCACACCGGAGCTGGCAAGAGACCCAATTCATGGAACAGCACCTGCCAGAGGCTGTGGGAGCAGAGGGGTGTTCCCATGAGGAGCAGTGCAGTAAAGGGATCCCAACCCCCCCCCCTCAGGCAGGGCACAGGGTTAGAATTAGGGTCGCCATGCCCTGATCCCTGAGTGCTGGCACTAGAGAACATACATGGGGCTTGCAAGCATTTTCTATGCAGCTTTGCCTTCTCCCAGCTCACCCCTGAGCCACCCCTGGGACATCAAGTAACCCTTTCCCTTCCCTTGGGCTGAAGCAAAGGGAAGGACACACACATCTCTCCATCACATCTCTCCATCCCGATGCAGCGCCCGACAGGCTCTGGCACTGCGCGTGCTGCTGCCATCAGTAGGAAAACAACCTCATACCCGCCGCCGCCACACGGGCA